GTTCGGCCGGTGTCAGCTCCGCATCTCCAATCATGCACTGCATCTCACCGAAACGCCAAGCTTCGCATCTAGTGCCCCGATACATTAGCTTTCATGGCCCCTCACAACCGCGCGAAATGGGCTAGCGGCTTGCTTCTTTGTGTTCACGGTGGCACAAGGTCCAAACAATACAGCGGCCTAAGGGTTGACCTAAGCGACTCCGCGACAACACTGTTTACCTCTGCCGACTGCAGCCCGCCTTCGGGACAACGGAGGCGGAAGGGCCCAGGATGAATCTCATCTGACTTAAAACGTCCTAAAGAACAGTCACCCCTTAGCACGAGGGGCACCAGTGCTATCAAAGCAGACCGTGGCACCACCTTCCCTTTCGTGCAGAAGTCGCATGCTTCAAGAATCAAATCCTTCAGAGCCAAGCAGAAGCCTCTTGGCCCTGACCGTGCTCTGAACTATGCTGCGGGGTTTGCAAGCAGACTCCCTAGTGACGGCGCTCCCTGACTTGCGAAAACCCTTCTCGCATGCAGTTGACAACCAAAGCCATGCTCTTTGAATGCGCTGCAAGAGGTTGAACAAGCTGGCTTCGCAGCAAAACGGTGTAGTTTCGCCGCGTGGAACAAGCTAGCGTGCAGCCAAGAACCGGAGGACTCGTTCCCCTCTCGAAAATTCAATTTAACGTAGACGACCCACACAAGTGGTGTCAGTATGACCTAAGGTGATGTTGGAAGGACCTTGCTGCCTGTGCAGACGTCGAGGGCTGCTCGGACACTCTCAAGCTGCTGCTGGTAGCACGAGCAGGAGCACCAACCTCGCTTGAGGGAATAGTGTTCTGCTGGAGTTCTGGTGACGGGCATTTCCTAGTTCCGTCAGCAGTTGACACTCGACACTGACTTAGTGAGCCAATGACAGCTTCGGAAGTGTGGAAAGCGCACGAAACACCTGCAGTGGCAACACGGTCCAGCCTCACAGTGAAAGGCATTGCAGTTGTCGCCACAGAAGGGGCGAGTCCATCATCAAGAGCTGCTGCACGCCTGAACCAGGCAGCGACCGAACCTTGGCTCCGTTGGAACCAGAAAGCTGCCAAGCGCCGTTTGGGCTGCTTTTTTCACAAATCTGTGCACGGTGGACCGTGCCGCACAGAAACGTGTGCCAACACCAGCCGAAGCAGCTGGGTGGCAGCTGGCATGAAAGGCGCCTTCGAGGCAACATAAAAGCTTGATCCAAGAGTTTCGCACTTCGTGCTTCGACACTTCAAGCATTTGCTCCCTGTTTCAAAGTGGTGACGGGTCTATGATGTGCATGCGAAGCTGGTGCACGCTTACAGAAGATGTCTGCACACAGCATCAAAATCCAGTTCCCTAGCATGACATTGAGATTCAGAAGCAGCAGTGCTTTCCCGTGCCACTGACAAGAGGTGAACGGACGATGGAGAGCAGTTGGTCGGATGCAGCATACCTCGCTGCCTTTTGCATGTTCGGAGAGCGAGCTGTTCTGCCGGCATGCGTGTGAGTGGCAGCGGGCCACTCACGGCTTCCATGCGTGCTGCCCTGAGGACTCAAAGCGACACAATGCTATCCTACAAGGCCAGCCGTGCAATGATCCAATGTTTAAACCACACATTGGAATGAACGAATCAGGTGCCCTGGCCAGGTTTGCTAAAGCCATCACCCAATGGTGGTCTCAGAATCACCGAGCCCTTCGTTGTGAGGGTTTTCAACGACGGCATGGCCTTGCTGATGCAGCCACGGGCAAACACCCAAGGGTGATGACTGAGAATCTTGTGCGGAGCAGCCAGTTGAACCATGCTGCCATGGGCATGAATGGCTTCCTGCAGCAGTGTGATGATCTGTTCGGGTAGCTATGGATCTACATCCACAGGAAATGCTACCCGTTACCCACCCGATACCTAAATAAAAGACCTAGCCTTAGTAGCTCTAGCCATACCCGTTACCCACCCGTTACCCCCCCTTTTGACTGACTTCAAGCAGCTTTGGGAGTTGTTCGTTCTTGACAGACACCTGCAGAAAGCCTCAAGGAATTCTTTCTTAGGGGTCTACTTCGACCGCATCTTCAGACGGCAGCTGCAAGCACTACGAGAATGTTTTGGTACGCTACACAGCTGACCGGTTTAAGGGATCTCGAATGCAAACTGGAGCCTGACTCTCGCTGCGGGCACTTTTGGAGGCCATGGTTCAGACACAGCTCGGCATCCGGTGGCTTCCTGCCAACGTAGTTTAGCATATCCGGGAGCCACTCGAACCTCCTAAGGATGCAACGACTCGACGCTTCAAGAGTGCTGCCCACCGCACGGGCACTTTCGAGTCGGCCATGCATCGGACACGGGCACAGCGGCCTGTCCTCCGAAAGCTTCTTGATGAAACCGCAAGGGGTCGCTGCATCATCGAGCCAACAACATGGTATGGCTTAGCCGGAAGCCGGGACAGTCGGAGGGCTGTTGAACCTTGTGAATTCTTGGCTCGAGTCGGCGAGATGTCAAATGTACCTCAACAGAAGACAAAGGATTACTGACGGCTTGGACTCACATGGCAATGGACAGGAAGCACACATTGCACTGCGATGATGAGGCATACACCCGTCAGATATGCCGGAACAGGCTAAGGCAAGGCTCGGATCAGGGAAATGCCGAAAGAGAACATTGACCCTGCTGTGGGCTGTATGTTGGTAAGGGCCTCGCGCCGATAAGTGGCTACCACTGCAGAACGTCCGCAAGATGCCAAAGGAACTCTCAACAGAAGACATAGGATTACTGGATTACTAACAGCTGGCCTCGCATGGCAGTTCATAGGAAGCACACGTTGTGCTGCAATGATGAGGCATGCACCCGTCAGATATGCCGGAACAGGCTCAGGCAAGGCTCGGATCAGGGAAATGCCGAAAGAGAACATTGACCCTGCTGTGGGCTGCATGTTAGTAAGGGCCTCGCGCCGATAAGTGGCTACCACTGCAGAACGTCTGCGAGATGCCAAAGGAACTCTCGACAGAAGACATAGGATTACTGGATTACTAACAGCTGGCCTCGCATGGCAGTTCATAGGAAGCACACTTTGTGCTGCAATGATGAGGCATGCACCCGTCAGATATGCCGGAACAGGCTAAGGCAAGGCTCGGATCACCGACCGTTGATCCTGCCGCCGGCAATACATCAATAAGTGGGTTCGTAGAACCAGCTGTGGGCCTCATGCCGAGACATGAGTATCCGGACTGCCCAAAGCTGACTAATTACAGAAGGAAGAACAGTCGAAGCCCCGAGAACATTGTACATGGCGGCGTGGTTAGCATAGCCGAGCATACTGGAATCAACGCTTGCTGGGTGCTGAGCCGTCTGATATGCTCAGACGGATCTGGTAGCAATTCGGCGATGGGAATTTCTGAGGTGGTGCAAGAATCCACTTATGGCAACGAGCCCCTAGCCTCCAAAGCTCAGGTTTGCGGAAGTGGAAGCTGCGTACGCAGCACGCAGCTCCTGCGTGTCGGTTGCTAGGATATGCACAACAATGCAAGGAGCTGGAGAGGACGGCCATCATTTGTTCGCTTTGCGCTTGAACAGATGCAGGTACACGACAGGTGGTCCTCACGCTGTATGGGCCCTTCTGTCGAAGCCGTGGCAATTGGAACGTTGCCCAGGCTTCAAGCGATATGCTGTCACACGGGCCAACCTGGATGTGCAAGCAGAGAGGGCCGTCAAGCTACCAACCAGTTTGGTAGATGCACACTTGCACGCTGCATTGCTCCGCACAGATCGGGAGCACTCAGGGCTTGGATGTGGTCTAACGGCGCCTTGCCGTTGACCATGTCTGACTGTCAGCACCTCACCCCGGTTTCAAGAATGTCTGCCGGTAGATGCCGGCACCAACGCTGAAGCACCTTGCCAGGAAAGCCACTCAGATTTGTCCCTTTGAACCTGCTGCCGTAGTCCGCATGGTGCACGGGGCTAGGTCGGGCTAGCGAGCGAGGGACCGACGGCATGTGGATCCATGATGTTCGGAACAGCATGCGACAACAGCCCACTGTCACCTAGGGGAATACACAGCTTCAACTTTGCAAGGGAGTCAGGTGCACAGGGCCTCTGATGGAGTAAACTTCGGGCACGGCTGAGCGTATGGAGGAGGAATCTCGACCGGGCGATGCGAGTGACCAAAGCCTTGCCAGATCCGACTACGTTGCCGGCCTCTGTTTGCAAGTTGCTATCTGCAGACTACCGCAGCTGCAGTTTCTTATCGCACACCAATGTGTGCACTGAAGTCTGGTATATGCACGATTGCAGGCTGCGGTATGTGGCCTTCCCTTCGAAACGAAGAGATTGCACGCCATGAAGTTTCAGACTCATGTCACCGAACAAAGTTGTCGATTCATGCACACCTCCAGCAGATCAAAGAGATTCTGCAAACGTGCCATCAAGCGGTCCTGGCAGTTTCTTTGGTCCATTTATTGCAGCCCAGAGTCATCTGGCAGCGGGCACATCACCTGGGCTTCGAGCATTGTCGCCACGGACAGACTATGGCCCCAAGGCCCCAAGTTGTAATCCTATCTTATCAGGCGTGTCCCTTATTTGCCGTTCAGACTTGACTTGCGGCTCTGAATCTGCTTACCGTCATCCTTGTTGCGCTTGCCTTTGCTGTTGCGAGTTACGGCGGGCAAACCAAACTTGCAAGCCCAGGAACCAGAGATGGCCAGGGAACTCCTAGCAAATGCAAGGAAGATGCCCAAGCCAGCGTGCGATAAAGGATCCCTATCGCTTAGCAGTAGCAGAACCCTTGCGAGAGTTGCATGCATTCGACCGTAACAACTGGTGACTAGGATGCTGCATGGCCTAGAACTGGCATTGCGCCGCGGCTCCTGAGGCACATAAGTAAACCAAGCCCGTGAGGCTCCGGTGACGGCTTCGAGCCCTTTCCGGACTCGGCAAAGCACTCCACGACCTGACACGGGTGCCAGGTGTCGAGACATCCGATAGCAGCCGGATCAGCTCCGCCCTGAGTGTCTCAATGGAGGCCGTCTGCAAAGGCCGTGCCCTCTTCGAGCACTGTGAAAGGCAAAGGCAGGACGACACGACGGCTGGGACAACCCTTGCAGCAGATTCTCCAGCCACAGCCGTAGCTGACAAGGAAGCGAAAGCAGAAGAGCACGGAGTCTGTGCGGGACAGGTCCTTTGGTGCATTAAGCCTATGCCTAGGCTTGAGCTGTCTGGACACTCGACCTCTCTTTCTGCGACTGAGTGCTCGCCTGTGGACATGTTGCCGCTCGACTGTGACAGATGGGTGGGAGAATCATGGAACGTCCGGTTTGCAGGCCAAACTGCTCAGCTGCTCAATGCGAGCTGCAACTGCCAAGTGACGTCTGGCTAGAGCTACAGGAATGTGGACAGCGACGGAAGCTTACATCTCTCATGAGCCCGCGAACCTGCTTGCCGGGCTCACGCGGCCCCATTGAAACAACGAACAAAGAGTCTGTCCAGTGAGGCGGTGGCCGGAAGCAAATGGTGCAAGAGCAGGCGGACTGTTACAATGCACTGGTCAGCAGGGTCTTGCAAGACTGCGATACCTTTACGCCGTAGATCTCCGGTGCGAAGAACTGAGGCTACCAAGGCATGCAGGAGCTCTCAGGCCCGGGGGCCCAGGCCCCGGGGGGGGGGCCCAGGCTTCAGAGCTGCTGGGGCTCATAGGCTCCTAGGGCTCCCAGGCTCCTAGGCGATGACTGGAAATGCCAAGGGTTGCCATCATCCTGCGTCCCAGCTTGCAGAGGGCGTCAGGGCTCTATTTTACGAACGAACACGGTACGTCGGATCTCTGCCTTTGGGACTTTCGCCTTGCTGCTCGGAGGAGCGAAGAACTCAGCAGAAGCATGCTGGCATTCACGTGAAACTCCAGGGTACAGAAGCCCACACAGAGGGGCCCTTGTCAATGCTACTCGTGCGATGACTATGTGCGAGTATGAGGCCGACGTGCAAGGCTAAGCATGTTATCGGAATCTATAGGCTTAGGTCGAGCTTCTATGATGTGGAAGTGGCCTTTCCGCAGCTCAGCAGCGAGGCGGCAATTGCAACATGTCAGCTTCCTCTCTGCGGCCGCAAATAGCTCAGCTGCCAACTGGTGGAACGTAACCTAAATGCTGACACACGGGAGGCAGGACTCGACGACCTGTGCCAGTCCGAAGCCGCTGAATGAAGCTGCGGACGACGTGGCGGACCTATCATGCTACGACTGCTTCCGGACTGAGCACCTGCTCCCGCGGAATTGGTCGGGAAGCGAGCGCCTGCAGCAGTTGCCCTACCTTCCCATCACGTTCGAGCGGTGTCAGGCGTGCGCTTGGCCCTGGAACCTTCGCAAACCTGCGCACAAAGCAAGTGCCAGGAGAAGCAGCAGGCCCAGGTCGCAACCACGACGACGACACCGCCGAAGCCACCATGAAGCCACATGGGGCCCAGCGTGTTGCAAGTTGTGAAGACGAAGGAGGCGCCGGAGCACTGTAATGCACCTCGCACGGTCGCGATCTCTGCCTCAGAAGCAGCATGCACCAGCTGCGAGCACACATCCCGCGCATGCCACTACTGGACGTCCAGTGCTGGGCAGAAGGCAACAAACTGTTTGGGGCTCACGCCTCTGCATGTAACCGCACCCACACAGGTGCAGCCGGAGCACTTGCTCGCTGGACAGCCCAATCGGCGAACTCCTCGCACCAGTCGCCAGGTGAGCACGGCAAAGCCATATGTACGTGGTGGGAAATCTAATGATCTAATGCAGCACCAGGAGAATCTTTGAAGCAAGCATGCTTGCCACAGACAGCAGTGTTCGTCGAGACAAGGCCCGTATCCACAAGTGCCCGGCTCTGCTGAGCATCTCTGGGCAAGACATGTCTCATGTGCATGTGGTGCAACTTCATCGACGGTGACGTAGGCACTGGAGGATTGCGGTGCTGGACCACACTCAGGACACAGATCAAAGGTTCACTGTGCCATAGCTGCACCTGTAAAAGCTTCCAGTCTTCCGGTCACCAACATCACTGCACACCAAGCTCGGATTTCGGTACATCATGCTTGGTTTCTTGCATAAAACGGTGCACCCAGCCGGTTCAACGAAGGAAATGGTAAGGGAACATTGTTGGTAGATCCAGCTTACGATAGCCATGCTGAAATTACACATGCTGAGAGCTCACATGTCTGGAAGGAGACACTGGCGGCTCTGCCTGGTGAGCGTCCAGTCACAGGTCCAGTGCGCACGGGCAGCGCGGCGGCGCACTGCGGAGCGGGTAGTGGACCAGTTACAACTTCTGCACGTGGAACTGCGACTTGGCAAAGACACTGCAGCACAAACTGGGCCTGGCCGCCGAAAAGCCAAGAGCGGTGTCACAAACCACAGACTGCGAGCGGCCAAGTGCAGGAGAACACCCGTCGGCCTTGTTGGCAGGTGCCCCGGATGGCCTCAACATCTTCAACTAACCTGGCCGAAGGCTGTTTTCAGACAGAATCGGTCGCCCGACAACGTTGCGATGACCCATCCTGATGTGGATGTGTGACCCAAGCTCTCCACGTGCGCAGGCAAGTCAAGTAAGACGGTGTTCGGGCGTCTTATGGCTCCCTCATTGACCCACAGAGGGTTTCTCTTCATTCAACAAGGCCGAATCCAGGCGATTTAGGGAAGGTCGGTGCTCAGTGCACTGTGGCAAAGCCAGATGTGCCATGGTGCAGGTGGTGCGCACGCGGCAGGCTAGAAGAACCGCCAAGTTCGTACAATTTATGCAACAACAAGCAGAGCGCCTACATCTGCTCAGGACTGCCAGGCCCGTTTCAGGGAGTTGCTTTTGGTCCCATCTCCATCTCAGCTGCAGCCATTGGGCAAGAAAGGGCAGAGAAAAGCTGTCGAGGATCACAGTGCCACAGCGCTGTGTCGCTTGCACAGTGCTGTACGCATCGCCTATGTGGGCTGGCGCAGGATGAACACGGCATGGAAGATTTCTGCCGGGAGCCTGCGCCTGTGAGAGTTGCGCGCGGAGTGTAGTGCTTGCACCGGGTGGTCGATGCTTTAGATGATTTAGATGAGGTGCACGAGCCAACAAGAAGACCTTGCCTTCTCTGACATTCAAGGCAAGGTATGGGAAAGTCAGCATGAAGCCAGTAAGCTGCCCGGCTGATTCCGCTGTCGCAATCAAAATCTATTGACGGTACATCCCTAAGCGCTCCAGTGGTTTTCGGCAGGCACGGCAGATCGTGGAAGGTAACGGAATGCCAAACGACTGGCTGACCCGCCAGGTGCATCATGCTTGCCACGAAGCCACGCTTCCACATACCTTGAGAACGGGGCCAGGCGAAAAGCTTTCAACTCAAGCCGCATTTTGATACAACAACTTGGTGTTCACTCGTCCAATTTGTGTCTCGCAAGTTCAAGAAGGGATTAAGCCAGGATGCAAGCTTAGAAGGAGCGTGTCTGAAGGTATGCTTCGGTAGTCTTTGCCAGGGCCACGGACGGGTTGGCTGCCAAGCTGCACTCTTACAGCAACTGTTGCCAGGGAAAACAAAGCTTCGCCTTCGGCCTTCCTTAGAACCTCTGAGTTCTGAATCCATTCTTAATCCTGCAGCATGGCAGCATTGCCCTGCACGCGTGTTCAAGCCAGGAGTGGCAGGGTGTCGCGGGTTTCCGGAGCCCTAGCCCCCTCGGTCTCAAGGCGGGCTCAAGAAAACGCACGACTGCACCGCCACTGCGCCGTCAGAGACTGCTTTCGCAGTCGCACAGACGGCCCGGGCCCGGGCCCGGCCCGGGCCCGGGTCGAAGCAGGCCGAGGCCGCCGAGGCTGCCGTCCAAGCTAGTGTGCTTTCTTCCCGCGGGCTCTGCCACGGAACAGGGTGATAGGAATGACTGAGTGGCCCTGCTCCGAGAATCGGAGCATGCCGCAGCTTGCAAACTTCGGAGTTAAGCACAGCTCAGCTGCGTTTGGTGGGGCTTGTTGGTGTCGTTTTGCCAGAGTGTGTAATACAGCAACACTCAAGGTGTTGCCTCGCGCAGAAATCCGCACGACTGCAGCCAGCAGCTGTGCCAAGATACTCGGCCTTAGGTGAACCACGACTAAGGCCGCCCGTCTGTCACACTCGTCGGCTGTCACGGCCATAGCAATCGCCGCCATCGCCAGGCAGCAGTGTTTCTGGAACTGTCCGGTAATCGCCCCGTGCGCGGGTTGGTCGCCTGGAGGTGTCTGGATTGACAAGGATGCCTCAGGGCAACAAGCACAGCAAGCAGCCAACCGCAACATGTTGATGCTTAGACGCGAGCTCTGAAGTCTCGTGCCCCTCGTACCCTGTGAACTCCTCGCAAGCTGCAGTGTTGTTGCATCGGCGTACATGGCAAGTCGTTCTGTCTTGGCCTGGTCAAGACCACGCGATTGGAGTTGGAGTCTTTCGCTGCAAGCAGGGCCTTCAGCCATGCGGCTAGCAGGAAGGTTCCGGCTGCGGGGGCAGCGGGTGTCCATTGAAGTGCCACAACTGTCAAAAAAACGACCGAGCGACATCAGGACCTGCGGCGTACACATACCCCCTCCGCGCATGCCTTATTTGGCAAGTAATGAATCCGGGCAGATGGGTCCTGGTCCTGGACAAGCGGCGTGGGCCTAGAACAACACGCCCTACCCTTTTCGTGGCGCCATGTGCAAGTGCAGAAACAGTGCAGCAAGGATTTGGCGGAGCCACACGGAGCGCCCACGGTGAGAAGCGAAGGCACACGAGCCACTCGCTCAGGGAAGCTTGGTAGATTGAGAGTAGTGCCAGCGGGGCCGCCAAGCCAACAGCACCTACCCGCAAATTGCACTCATTGCACTTCACAGTCTGAGTGGCATGGGTGCCTGCTGTGTACCAAACTCCGGATGCAGGGTTCCACGTCGAGCTGCAGGCAGCGCCGCTGACCGAGGAACCGTCAACCGCAAGCGGTGCCAAGTGGTCCTCCCTCTCCTCAATCTCGCCTTCGCAGCCTGAGAATCGGAGCACTCACCCATAGCTCTCTATGACTTCATGCTCCCGGCTCCCCTCCCGTATCCTCCCGTCTCAGAGCACTAGCGGAAGCCGAGGCTCAGCTTCATGGTCACGTGCTGTTCTGGTGTCAACGCTGCTGCTTACGGCAGTATGCATGGGTAAAAGCTGCAGGGCTGTGTATCAGCTCTTCACGCTTCCTGAGGGGCGACTGCGACGTGCTCTCCATTGTCGGTTGGTTTGGAGTGGCGCGGGCAAATGAGGGCGCGTCCGGCAGCTCTTCCGACGAAGTGGAAAGGATTTATCGCGGCACGGACAAAGGTAAGCAGGTTTTCGCACGAATGAGACCGTGCTGGCTGCGCCGCAGCTTCGTATTGTTGGCAGCTTCAGGTGCAGCAGGTCCAGGTTGGGCAGCGAGCTCGTCACATCATCTGCACAGTGCTTGGCCACAGAATCGGCGAGTGTGCTGACGGTGCGAAGCGCTCAGGGACTTGCCCCCGGCACCCACACCTGCCGAGCAGGCCCAGGTCTCCTGCAAGACAAAGATCTTCCAGAACGGCGTGGGGGTGGTACACACCAAATGCTGTGCTGAGGGAGGAACTGTGCTGGGAACTCAGAAGGCAGCCTGCGGACTACCTGCAATGTGAAATGTGAGGCGGTAGGTGCCCGGCGCAGGCAGCGGGTTGCAGGCTCAGCCTGCCGAAACGGCGTCACAGAACTTGGATGCACCAAGCGGACGCGCGGGAGGGCGAGACTCGCAGTAAGCACGTGCACCTGGGCCACTGCATTGTGCGCTGCCTCCCGCATCCGAGCAAGGGCCACGAGCATCTCGCCTACGGAAAGTCCGTGCGGCATGGCTGCGCTCACCGGCCCAAGCGCTTTTATGAGCAACTCACGGACGGCTTCGCCCCTAGCAAGGGCCTCACACTATCTCTATGCCCATGGTGAGCCTGGAGGGGAGCCCAATGGTGAGAGGCATGAAAAAGGCTGACAACAAAGCTTGCAACGCTGGGACGGGCAGACTGTGAGAGCTATGGCTGCCATGCCCGAGTCCTGTACGTGCGTGCTTAAACATCACATCCAAGCCGCGAAGTCTCCCTCGAAGAGCTGCTGCGCTGCAGTCTGAGCCAATCATTCTGTATCAAGTAAGCGAAAGGAAACTTCTGCAGTGGAATTGTCTCAGTAAGTGGGTCCAAAAATGTCTGTGGCTTCGTACCCAATCCTTACATTCAGGACGGTTCAGAAGAAGATCCAGCCTGCACCTGCAAACTTGAAGCAACCCTGGCGCTAGAATCCGCTAGAACTTTTGAAAGGTATAGCAATTGAAAACCTTTTATGCATCCCTTTGAGGCTCAGCAGTGCTGTCTGGCATGATCATACCCGTCCACGAACAGGGCTGGCTTGTCCGGGTCAGCGGGGAAGGCAGTGCATCAGCGCAGCGTCGCGGCAATTCACGTCCCCTGCATGAGCCGCCAACAAGACTGTTAGCTCCAACAAAGCGCGTCGACCATCGGACTGACGTGGCAGAGCCGGAGCGCCCAGCTGTCGAATGGAAGGCTGTTCTCGGGTCTTCATCTCAGCCTGAACTCGTTAGCAGGCCGAAAACTCCGCCCTTAGGCCGATTGTGGCCAAGGACAGAACTGACCTCGTTCTCGCTTTATGCACAACCCTCTCACCAGCTCTCCCAGCAGCACCTTCAGTTGCCACGCGCAGCGAGCCGCTGGAGCAACTTCTCCAACCACTCCGACGGAGTTGCACAGACGGTAGGATGGCAGCAATCCCTAACGAAGTGAGAACTCCCAAAAGGAACAACACAACATGCTCTCAGTGCGTGAGTGTTCGTCGCAGGAGATGCTGCAGACCTTACAAAGCTCACTTCAGTTCTTCGTCTCCATGGTCGGATCGAGTGTGCGCGTGATGCCATCTCTGGCGCACAGGCATATGTCGCCCGAGTCAGGTGCTAGGCTTGCCTTTGCACTAAAGCCTTTTCGATGCAGGCTTGAGCTCGGAGCTCGCTGAACTGAAGAGCTCTGCCTTCGAAGAGCCGTCACTGGTGGCATCTCAGATTCTCAGATAGCAGCTTAGGCTTCCTGCCCGTTTCGAACATAGATACGCATGCGTTATAAGGTCGACTCGTCCGACGGCGAGACGTCTTCCAGTCAATCTGGCACAGCGGAAAATCCTGAGCCTGCAGTTGATACCATTTCAAGATCCTCTTCTGCCTCTCGCTGCCTTCAGCAGCACAGGATGCGGTCTTCAATCCGGATCCGGGCCTCAGCTGCCGGGGCAGGCATAATTCTTTATTCAACGGCAGTGTCTCACCATCAGCTTCCACTGCAGTAGCTTCACTTGCAAAGGCTTGTGTTGTATTTGGGGCACAGTACCGTCTGGCATAGCCGTGCCCGGACGGGGCTGGCTCGTCCGGGCTAGTCGGAAAGACAGTGCATCAGTGCAGCATCGCAGCAAATCAGATAGTAAAATGGGCCGGACCCGAAGCTGGCACACGACTGCCGATGCGAATCTGTTGAATCCGGGTCAACTGCCAGAGTTTCCGATGCTGGAAGAACTCTGCCTTCGAAGAACCGTCATTGGTGGCATCTCAGATTCTCAGATAGGTGGCTGAGGCTTCCTGCTCGTTTCGAACTTCTGTTCGCATGTGTTAGAAGTGCTATAAGGTGAGACGTCTTCCAGTTAGTCTGGCACGACGACGTATCCGGAGCCTGAACTGACACCATTTCAAGATCTTCCTTGGCCTCTCGTTGCTAGCAGCAGCACAGGATGCAATCTTCAATTCGGTTCCATGCTTCACCTGCCGGCGAATTTCGACTGTGGACAGATACGGATCTCTTTCAACGGCAGCGTCACCATCCGCTTCCTCTGAACTAGCTTCCATTGCAAAGGCTTTTGTGGCATTTGCCGTACGATGGCCTTGCAGGACGGGGCTGGCTTGTCCGGGTCAGCGGGGAAGGCAGTGCATCAGCGCAGCGTCGCGGCAAAGCACGTCCCCTGCATGAGCCGCCAACAAGACTGTTAGCTCCAACAAAGCGCGTCGACCATCGGACTGACGTGGCAGAGCCGGAGCGCCCAGCTGTCGAATGGAAGGCTGTTCTCGGGTCTTCATCTCAGCCTGAGCTCGTTGAATCGAAGACCGGCAGAAGTAGGTCTGTGCCGGGTTCGCAGAGCAGGCCGAAGTGGCGAGCCTGGAGGGGAGCCCAATGGCGAGAGGCATGAAAAAGGCTGACAACAAAGCTTGCAACGCTGGGACAGGCAGACTGTGAGAGCTATGGCTGCCATGCCCGAGTCCTGTACGTGCGTGCTTAAACATCACATCCAAGCCGCGAATTCTCCCTCGAAGAGCTGCTGCGCTGCAGTCTGAGCCAATCATTCTGTATCAAGTAAGCGAAAAAGGAAACTTCTGCAGTGGAATTGTCTCAGTAAGTGGGTCCAAAAATGTCTGTGGCTTCGTACCCAGTCCTTACATTCAGGACGGTTCAGAAGAAGATCCAGCCTGTACCTGCAAACTTGAAGCAACCCTGGCGCTAGAATCCGCTAGAACTTTTGAAAGGTATAGCAATTGAAAACCTTTTATGCATCCCTTCGAAGAGCCGTCACTGGTGGCATCTCAGATTCTCAGATAGCAGCTTAGGCTTCCTGCCCGTTTCGAACATAGATACGCATGCGTTATAAGGTCGACTCGTCCGACGGCGAGACGTCTTCCAGTCAATCTGGCACAGCGGAAAATCCTGAGCCTGCAGTTGATACCATTTCAAGATCCTCTTCTGCCTCTCGCTGCCTTCAGCAGCACAGGATGCGGTCTTCAATCCGGATCCGGGCCTCAGCTGCCGGGGCAGGCATAATTCTTTATTCAACGGCAGTGTCTCACCATCAGCTTCCACTGCAGTAGCTTCACTTGCAAAGGCTTGTGTTGTATTTGGGGCACAGTACCGTCTGGCATAGCCGTGCCCGGACGGGGCTGGCTCGTCCGGGTTAGTCGGAAAGACAGTGCATCAGTGCAGCATCGCAGCAAATCAGACAGTAAAATGGGCCGGACCCGAAGCTGGCACACGACTGCCGATGCGAATCTGTTGAATCCGGGTCAACTGCCAGAGTTTCCGATGCTGGAAGAACTCTGCCTTCGAAGAACCGTCATTGGTGGCATCTCAGATTCTCAGATAGGTGGCTGAAGCTTCCTGCTCGTTTCGAACTTCTGTTCGCATGTGTTAGAAGTGCTATAAGGTGAGACGTCTTCCAGTTAGTCTGGCACGACGACGTATCCGGAGCCTGAACTGACACCATTTCAAGATCTTCCTTGGCCTCTCGTTGCTAGCAGCAGCACAGGATGCAATCTTCAATTCGGTTCCATGCTTCACCTGCCGGCGAATTTCGACTGTGGACAGATACGGATCTCTTTCAACAGCAGCGTCACCATCCGCTTCCTCTGAACTAGCTTCCATTGCAAAGG